GCAACGATGGGCTGGCGGCCGCCGTTCTTCTTGAGCTCGGCGACAGCCGCCTTTTGCGGCGGAAGCAACACGACCCAGCAGCAACCAATGACCGCAAAGCAGTACGAGATGATGTACGAGTACGCGACTTGGTTGCGCGTCTCGTCCGAGTCGAGCTTGATGAGCTTCTTGTTGTAGTTGAGCTGGCCATCGATCAAGTTGGTGATCATCGTGCCAAAGGTACCCGGGAGGTTCGTGACGGTCGTCAAAAGCCCGTACATGACGCCTTCGTTGCCGACTTCGGCGAGCTCGACAATGACGTATGTACCAATGACAAAGTTGATGCCAATCGGAATGTTCTCCATGACGGGCACACCGAGGTAGAACCACTGGTTGCGGACGATAGCGTAGACTGTCAAAAACTGGCAAACCGAGTCGATGATGTTGGCCGTGAGAATCGTGATGACGAGCACGTAGCGCCAGTTCCAGTGCGTGCCGTAGGTACCCGTGAGCACCAAGACGCCGGCAAAGATGAGCTGGCCGACGACGCCCATGATTTGGTTGTTGAGGTTCTCGACGCCGGCCCAGTTGAGCGACACGTAGTACGTTGCCGTCGACGTGATGTTGCCCGTGAAAAGCGAAAAGAGAAAGTTGAAGCAGAGCACTTGCCACACGGCGCGGTGCTGGACGAGCTCCCAAAAGTTGGAAAAGTAAATGCCCACGGGGACGCGCTCGCGCTTGGCGTCCTTGACAAAGAACCACATGACCGGCACGTTGATGATCGACGGGACGGCCAAGATCCAGAAGTACCCGTTGATACCAATGTCCCAGTCAAAGCCGCCCGAGAATTCCTTCGAGTTGAGGCAGAGACCGCAAATGAGGTAAATAATACCCATAAAGACCGAGCGTGTGGCATAAATCATTGACTGGAGACGACCGCGGATCGCGATCGGCTCGCGTTGCGCGTACGTGAGCATCAAACCGTCCTGCGCGACGTCGGCCATGACGTAGCAAAAGCCCACAATCGTACAGAGAAGCGCAAGCTGCGAGCCATCCGAGCTCGAGCCCGGGTCGCCCGCCGGCTTGCACGCAATGTAGACGAGAATCGCAGCACACAGCGTCCAGCCGATAAACATGTACGGCTTGCGCGAGTAGCCAAAGATCGGGAAGCAGTCGTTGAACATGCCAAAGAAGACCTTGATGGTCCA